CAGATCAGATGAGAAACCTCCGTTCCTGGTGGGCTACGAACTGCGAATATGATGCCACGTTCGTGGGCCCCGGGGGGAGGTCAAGTGGAATGGCGTCCTATCAAGATCAAGCAAGACCTCGTCGTCCCTGGCCTCGCAGGGTTGATGGATTCCTGGGAGGTCCAGCGGGAGAACGCCGTATGCAGATTAGGTGAGAGCTCGCCGTCCCTGGGGGCTGTGTACTGCGAGTCGGTGGCCACGTTCGTGAGCTCCTGGGAGGTCCAGCGAGTGACGTCCTAGTCAGATCAGGTGAGACCCCTCCGTCCCTGGGGGCTGCGTACTGCGAGTCTGCTGTCACTTTCGTGGGCTCACGGGTGGTTCAGCGGACTGACGCCCTATTTCAGAACAGGTGAGACCTCGCCGTATCTTAGGGTTGCGAACGGCGAACATGTCTCCCCTTGCTTGGGCTCCTGCCAGGTCCAGGCGGGTGGCGTCCCATTCAGAACGGAGGGGACCTCGTCGTCCCTGGGGGCTGCGACCTGCGCGACCATCGCCACCTCCGTGGGCTGCCAGGAGGTCCGGCAAGGTGACGTGCGATTCAGATGAGGTGTGAGAGCTCGCCGCCACTGGGCGCTGCGAACTGCGCCCCCGTCGCCACGTGCGTGGGTTCCTGGGAGGTCCAGCGGAATGACGTCGTATTCGGCTATGATGAAATCTCGCCGTCCCTGCGGGGGCTGGGGGGGCTGCGACCTGCAAAATTGAATGGGGTCATGCGAGGTCCAGCGGCGTTACGTCTTAGCCAGATCATATTGAGACAGTTGGCTGCCCGTGTTGGGAAAGTCCAGAGAGCGCGCGCAAATCTGCCTCTCGGATGCGAACACTTTTCTTGCGCGGTAGTCCGTCGGACCTGCAAACCTTAAGAATATCGAAGACGCCTACGGCGAATCACCGCCGCCCCCTGCCTTTTTGGAAGCGCCTGTGTGGCTGAACGTTGAGGCCAGACCTGCCAAGCTATCGGACCATGTGTTCCCCGAATCGGTTTGGAAAGCCTTCGGGGAACACGTGGGCATCTTGAAGGTCATCTTGGCCGCCTAGAAGCCATTTTGACCATTTCGGGCCTTCTTGGAGGACGTCTTGGAGGGCTATTGGGCCGTCTTAGAGGCCATCTTGAGCGTCTTGGAGGCCTCTTCGACCGTCTTGGGGCCTCGGGGAGCCGTCTTTGGCCTCTTGGGCGATCTTTGGGGGCACTTGGGCCGTATCGGGCCGTCGGAAGGCAGAACAAAAGCAGATGCCACAATCCTTCAAACACTCATTGGAAATCAATGATTTGGGCATTTTCGGGCCTTCCTGGAGGCCCTCTTGGAGGCCTCTTGGGCCCTCTTAGTGCCATCTTCGGCCGTCTTGGTGGGCCCCTGGCCCGTCCGACGCCGTCGGAAACCGTTTGGGGGGCCTCTCTGAGCCGACTCGGGGCCCTCTTAGACTGCTCCATGGCCGTCTTGGAGGCCATCTTGGGCGTCTTAAAAGGCTCCTGGGCCGTCTTGGGGGCCTCTTGGGGCCGTCTTGGGGGCCTCTTGGGCCGTTCTGGGGCCATCTTGGAGGCCTCTTGCGCAATCTTGCTTGGGCGATCTTTGGGGTCTCTTGTGCCCTATCGGGCCGTCAGAAGCCCGAAAAGAAGCACATGTCAAAATCCTTCGAACACGTATGAAAAATCCATGTTTTTGGCCTTTTTCTGGCCTTCCTGGAGGCCCTCTTGGAGGCCTGTTGGGCCGTCTTGGGCCAGCTTCGAGCCAACTTCGGTCATCTTGGTGGGCTCCCTTCCCGTCTGACGCCGTCGGAAGCCGTTTGGGGGGCCTTTCTGGGCCGACTTGGGGCCCTCTGGGGGGGCTCCAGGCCCGTCTTAGAGGCCATCTTGGGCGTCTTGGAGGCCTCTTGGGTCGTCTTTGTGCCCTATTGGGGCCGTCTTGGGGGCCGGCCTCTCGGGCAGTCCTGAGGCCATCTTGGAGGCCTCTTGGGCGCTGTGGGGGCGATCTTGCTTGGGCCGTCTTGGGTCGTCGGAAAGCCGAGAAGAAGCGAATGCCAAAATCCTTCAAAAACCTATGGCAAATAAGTGATGTTGGCCTCTTCGGGCCCTCCTGGAGGACCTCTTGGAGGCCTCTTGGGCCGTCTTGGAGGCCTCCGGGGGGCCTCTTGGGCCGTCTTGGACTTTCTTGGGCCGTCTGGGAGGCCGTCTTGGACCATCTTGGGCGGACTTGGAGGCCATCTTGGACCATCTTGGAGGCCATCTTGGGCCAACGTGGCCATCATGGAGGCCATCTTGAGCCTCCTTGGAGGAAAAATTGTGCAGTTGGGCGCCTTTCCGGGTGGCCGGCGGGACGCGCCGGAGGCCCCGGGGAAGTTCTTTTTGAAAAGGAACCAAAACCAAAACCGAAAGGGTCTAGCACGCCAGGCGCCCCTGCGATGAATCGACAGGGGGCGGCGGATCCAGTTACCCGTGGCAAGTCCTGCCACCGTGCCAGCCCAGTTTCTGGATGGCCGAGGAGCACGGGAGGCCGTCTCGCGTGACACAGTGTGTCTTCAGGCGTGGGGAACCGCGACGAGGATGATGAGGGTTATGCGATTGATGGGGGTGTTGTTGTTGGTGAGGATGGCGACGACGAGGATGTTGATGGTGGTGATTGTGGTGGTGATGGCCGATGATCTTGATAATGAAGACGCTGATGATGATTAGGGTGGTGACGTTGGTGTTGATGAGGGCGTGGGTGAGGATGATGACGACGATGCTGATGATGATGATGATTATTATTATGATGATGTTGATGATGCTGATGATGATGCTGATGCTGATCCTGCTGGTGCTTATGCTGATGATGATGCTGATGATGATGATGCTAATGATGATGACGATGACGACGTTGACGATGACGATGGCGATGGCGATGACGATGGCGATGGCGATGGCGTTGGCGATGGCGAAGAGGAGGAGGAGGAGGAGGAGGAGGAGGAGGAGGAGAAAGGCCGTCACATGTTGCACCTTTCGTCTTCACTATCTGCGGAGCTCTCCTGAAATTCATTGGGCCGTATTGGGGCTGTCTCGGTTTCCTGTGAGGGGTCCCACGGGGCTCTCTTGGGCCGTTTGGAGGCCCTCTTACGCCGTGGTTGGGCTGTCTTGTGCAGTCTTGGGGCCTTCTTGGACGTCTGGTGGGTGCCTGGGGGGCGCCTTGGGGCCATCGTGAAGGCATCTTGGGTCATCTTGAGCTGACGGAAGCCAGAGAAGGCGAGCATTGCGAAAAGCATTCAACACCAGACGGGAATCATTGATTGTGGTGTCTCCAGACCCTGTTGCAGGTCCTCTTGTTGCCCTTTTCTGGGCCCTCTTGGGGACATGTTAGGCCGTCTTGAAGCAGTGTTCGGCCGTCTTGCGGCCGTCTTGGGCCGTCGTCGAGGCATCCTGGGCCATCTTGGTGTCCTTGTTTGCCTGCACGGGCCGCCTTGCACGCTCGGGCCGCGTATTCACAGTTTTTGACCGCGGGGTCGTGGCCTCGGGAGCGCGGATCTATTGTGTGTTTGTGCGAGGTGTCGTGGCCCCAGGAGGGGGAGCGTTGCGTGCAGACGTCCGCGGGTAGAGTGGAGACCCATGCCAAGAAACACCTTGCCTGCCTCCAGGGTACCTTGGGCTTCTCTGGTTTCGATGGCTTTGCTGTGGAAGGCGTGGCGTTCCCACACCAAGAATCGATGGACGTCCTGGGGTCTAAGGGTTGGGTTTCTTGTGGAAGGTCTCTTGTGGACTGGCCTCCACTGTAGAGGTGGGGGGGGGCTGATCAGAATACAGAAAGTCTACCAGGCAGACGGCAGCTCACATTCTACAGCGCCTCAGCGTGCCAGGTGGCACGGTGGCGGTCATGCCAGCAGTCAACAACCCGCCCGTTTGCATCATCGCTTCAGGGTGTTTTTCGTGCATTTCTTGATGCACGCAGTTTTATTTGTCCTCGTTCATCCCTCAGGTTGTCTTCCTCGTCCGCGCTCCTCGGTCAACCGCTCCTCCTCCTCCTCCTCTTCCTCCTCCTCCTCTTCGTCCTCCTTCCAGTCTAGCCCATCTGGCTGGCGGTCCTGCTCTTCCTTCTTCTGCATCCTCCCTTGTCTTTTCTCCCAGCTTTCCCGCCTCCTCCCATTCTTTCTCTGTTCTCCCCGTTCTTACAGGCCCCCGCCCGCATCTCTCCTCTCGACTCCTGCCCCCAGGAGGAGGACCAGGAGGAGGAGGAGGAGGAGGAGGAGGACTGGGCTCCTCTACCAAGATTGCAGAGGTGGGTGCGGTCAGACCCAGATCTGAACGAGACCTCGCCGTCCCTGAGGGCCACTTTGCTTCCTCCTCCCCTCCCCCTCCGCCTACCTAGCCCTCCCACCACACTGCCCAGTGAGTCTTGCAACGCGCGAGTTCCGTGTAGCTGTCACACACACACACACCACACACACCACACACACACATCGCGTTCGTTATCATGCCGTCTTCCGCACGTGGACTTGGCGCAGTTGGGTTAGGTACGTCGCAGAATAATGTCACATTGATTCGTGCGAGCACGGCGATGCAGTGCTGAGTTGAATAATGTGGTTTCCTGTGCAAACAGAAATGTATCGGACTGTTGCTTCCTGGCGCAGATTGTAACAGATGTTCCCGCTCATGATTCAGATGTTGGCATCCAAGTGTCATAATTCGATTGTCAAGCTTCTGTACTCCGAGGTCGTATCGTCGTCTCATGAGTTCCAAACGTGCCTCTGCCGCCGAGCTATGTTTGGCCGCTGTACCTGTGCCTCAACCCGTGAACCCGAGGAGGACGTGCGGGACGAGGAAAGGGGGTGAGGAGGAGGCGGAGGAGTGAGGAGGAGGAGGAGGAGGAGGAGGAGGAGTGAGGAGGAGGAGGAGGAGGAGGAGGAGGGGGAAAGAGGAGGAGGAGGAGGAGGAGGAGGAGGAGGAGAAGGACGAGGAGGCCGAGGGCGGCGGGGGGCGGCGGAGGGCGCAGAACGCTGGCCAGGCGGAGCTGTGGAGGATGCTGTCCTTCCCGCTGGTGTCCATCACGTTCTGCGCCCGGGCGGTGCTCTCCGAGGGCGGCGCCGGGGCCGCAGGCCACGGGGTGCCGAAGAAGGATCTGGCAAGAGGCCTATTGTTCGAGAACTTCGAGAAAACACCCTCGGCCTTTCGAGGACCTTGGATGGCTATCTGAGGTGTGTGTATATATATAGGTTTGTGCATACGCGTTCATCATGCTCGGTTTTGCCCTCCTGCTCCCGAGCCTCCATCCTCTTCTTCCCCTTTCTTGAAGTGTTCCTCTGATTATTGAATCGCTTCGCTAATTCCGCAGACCCACATTGGACCATTGTTGCTGGTGTGCCCATCGCGGGCGAGAAAGAGGATAGGGGGGAGGGGAGGAGGCGGAGGAGGAGGAGGAGGCCTCTCGACGGCTTCTTGCGGCATTGTGGGGACCAGACTGGGTCGCGGACAAGACGCCTCTTTGGATGACTTCTTGGGGTCTCTTGGAAGGCCTCTCCGGAGCCTCTTGGCCGCATTTTGGGGACCTCCGCTGGGTATGCGGCGTCAGCGTCAGACGCAGATGCGGGACCGTGTGAAATGACCGGTGCTACATGTTGGTGTGCTCGCGGGACCTTATTGAGTGGCAGATGCTAAATCGCGGGACCATGGTGCAGGACAGGTGCCATATGTTGGTGTGCTCGTGGCAAACGAAAGAAGGAGAAGGCCGTCCTGCTCCCCCTACCTCCCTCGGCGCACCGACTGGATCGTGGACAAGAGGCTTCCCTGTAAGGCGTCATGTTTCTCGTAGGAGGCCTACTGGGGGTCTCTGGGAGGAATGTGTGCGGCCCACTGGAAGCTTTCGGAGGACGTTTCGGGGGCCTCTTGGGCCCTCTTGGGCTGCTCCCTGGACGCTTCGGAAGTCCCTTGGGGCCTCTTGGGCCCCCTGGGGGCCTTTGGGGGCCTCTAGGGGCTTCGAGGACACGTCGTGGGGGCCTCTTGAAGGCATCGTAGGGGCATCTTGAGGGGCCTCTAGGGGCATCTTGGGGCTCTTGGGAGCCTCTTGAGTTTTCTGTGAGCCTCTTAGGGGCATCTTGGGGGCATCTCGGGACCTTCTTGGGAGTGTCCTGGATCGTCTTGAGACGATGTTGGGTGCATATCGTGCCGTCTTGGACGGAAGAGGCGAAAGTGCTGAACATGTACGTTTTCCCATGGTAAGTTGTGAAGTGTTGCTTGTGGAGGCCCTGTTGAGGGGCCTCTGAAGGCCCTCTCAGGCTTGTCTGGGACCATCGTGGGGCAATAGAAGCATCTTGGTATTATGTTCGGGCCATCATGCGGCCTGCCATCTACTGATGCGGACTCATGTGCCCTCTTGGAGCTCCCTTGGGGTTTCTTGGGGCGCTCCGCCCCCGGGAGTTATGGCATCCTTGAGCGGATCTTGCCCGGATCTTGCTGGGAGTCGGCCGGAGTATTTTTCGCCTGGGGACCCCCAGGGGCCGCCCCGTGCGCGCGAACTAGCATATACTCTGTGAACCAGTTGCCAGAGATCTTGGCACGCCCCTGGCCCGTTGGGCCGGCGAATTCCGCCTCCTGCTCGCCCTCGCCCGGCCTCCTTTCCGTCAAATGACTATCATGCTCCTTTGTTTTTGCCCTTTTATCCTCAGCCCTGTGGCTGCAGCTGGACAAAGCCAGCGGCGCCATTGGAAGACCCCTCCCAACGACTGCCCTTTCCTGTGCCAATCACGGAGAAGGCATCCGCCGCGCTGGCCGTCTCCGCAGGCATTCCCTACGACCTCGTGCCCATACTGGCCCTTCGGCTCCAAGGAGGTATCCTTTCAGGAGGGGAAAAAACACCCAGACACAATGAATCGTCGATCCCCCGGAAAATATGGGAAGTGGGGGGGGAGACGAAAACCAGGAAAATATGAGAAAATATAGGGACTCCAGGGATTTGTATATTTTCAGTGTGTGTCCCTGGGCCCCTTTTTATCCTGGTCCTCGTGGCCGCGGGAGGTCCTGGGCGCCAAAAGTGGCGCTCGGCGCCCCGCGATGGGCCAACGTCGAGGGCTAGAGAGCGCTGCGGTAGCAACGTGCTCGTGCCCGCGCGGTTCCCACGGCAGCTCGCCCGGCTTTGAGCGGGCGGAGGGCCCGCGGCGGGTGCACGCGGGCCCTCCTCCTCCTCCTCCTCCTCCTCCTCCTCCTCCTCCTCCTCCTCCTCCTCCTCCTCCTCCTCCTCCTCCCCTCCCCCTCCTCCCCCTCCCCCCTCCTCTCCTCCTCCTCTCCTCTCCTCCTCCTCCTCCTACGCGGGCCCTCCTCCACGCGGGCCCTCCTCCTCCTCCTCCTCCCCTCCTCCTCCTCCTCCCTCCTCCTCCTCCTCCTCCTCCTCCTCCTCCTCCTCGCCCCCTCCTCCTCCTCCTCCTCCTCCTCCTCCTCCTCCTCCTCCTCCTCCTCCTCCTCCTCTCCTCCTCCACTACTCCCCCCTCCTCCTCCTCCTCCCTCCTCCTCCTCCTCCTCCTCCTCCTCCTCCTCCTCCTCCTCCTCCTCCTCCTCCTCCTCCTCCTCCTCCTCCTCTCGGCATGCGGCGGGTCGTTCCCCGGGGTCGCGCGGCGAGGCCTCGGCGCCACGCGTGCAGCCGAGGCCCAGGAGGCGGCGGCGAGGCGGCGGCAGAGGAGGGTCGCTGGTCGCTCGGCGACGGAAGGCCAACACGCCATACTGCCGATCGACTAATTACGTAAGAGTGACCTTTCGCCGGAGTGACCTTTGGTGCGGGCGCAGTGCGATGGAGTGACCTTTCGCCGGAGTGACCTTTCGCCGGAGTGACCTCTCGCCGGAGTGACCTTTCGCCGGAGTCCCCCGATCACCGATTGCGATGCGATAGTAGCGTCTTGCGCGCCTGAGTTTGGTACCCCGCGGCCCCCCAAAAGCCGCGCACCAAAGGTCACTCTTTCGCAGGGTCACTCTTGCGTGTAGCCGACGCCGAACCCCAGAAGAGGACGCGTGCGGCTTCAGATTTCGCACGCGTGGTTTGCCGCGTCGTCCTGTCGCGCTGCCCGCATGCGGTTGCTGCTGAGTTGTCCTCCTCTTCCTCCGCGTCTTCTGCGCGGCTTCTCGAGGGCATCTCGGAATCTTCGGGGCTGGCCTCGTGGAAGCCTTGTCCACAGTTCCTAGGCTTTGGGGGGGTTAAGGGGCCTCCTGAGGGATTGTTCGGGATCCCTTGGCCGTCTTGCGGGGGAGGGCACCCGAGGTCCCTGCCAGTTCCACCGAAGGCCTTGATGGTTGTCTTGGTGCCATATTTGACTGTCCTTGGACCTCGGGCGCTGATGAACCAGTTCGGGGGGCCCTCGTGGACCGCCCAGGGCTTGCAGAAGCCAGGCGAGAGCGCGAAACCATCCATCAACTTACAAGAAATTAGTGGTTCGCGTCTCTTCGGCCCGTCTTGGGGGTTCTCTTGGGGCCCGCTTGAGGCGCGTTGGGAGGCCTCCCGCGCCGCGTGCCGTCCTGCAGGGCATTTGGGGCATCTTGGAGGCCACCGATGGTGGATTTCGAGGCTCTGAGAGCTCTGCGGTGCGTGAAGGAGTTCGCGTGGGGATTCCCCCCCCCCGCCCAGAGACGCGATGCTCCAACAAAAATTGGAGCGGCGGGATGTTGGCAGTTGTGGGCCTCTAGAGCGCCTCGCCCGGCCACGGGAGCATGAAACAATGATTCGGGGCGACAAATTGGCCCTGGGGAAGTAGTCCGGATCTCCGGGGCATGCGTATCGACAAAAAAATTGGAGCGGCCAGATGTCTGGGCACTTGGGGACCGTGGGGAGGGGGAGAGGAGGGGGACAGCCAAATCTTTCACGCGCCTTGCTGACCCCCGGCAAGCGGTGGTCGACAAGTTTCGACGATGATGACTTTCATGAGCGCCTCTCCGCTCTGGACCGGCACCGCCCCGATGCCAGTCGGCACAAATTCGTTGTTAGTGATATTCAACGGGGCGTGCCACATTTCGTCGTGGGCGTGCTTGCCGATGGTGTTGCCCTGCTTGTCGTTGCCGTCGTAATTGCCGTGGTTGACGCGATCGCTGTACTCGTAGTAGTAGGCGTCGTTGCGCCAGTGGGCGCGGCCACGCAAGGTTGCGACGACGCGCGGCCGTCCGCGCCGGCGGCATAGCCCAGCATGTGCGTGGCAGCACGGCTATCGGGTGTAGCAAGAGCCCTAGATAAGAGGACCAGGTTAGTGATAGGGCATCGAAGCCAAATGATATACCAGAACGACTGAACCAGGCCTGCTGCAGCTTGTGTGTGTGTTTCGGGTGACGGCAGTTCCGGTTCGTGCAATGCGGGGGCGGCGCTCCCGAGCACAAATCAGTAAACCAGGTCCCTCCAAGTCCAGTCCTGCCAGTGCCCGATCTCCCATCTGGCACAAGCTCGGCTGAAGGGCCCTCCTCACAACCTCCTCAGACGTCTCCTAGGTTGTCTACACCCAGTGGCTTGCCTTCCTGGGCACAGGCGCGATCCCGACAACCACGCAGCACCAGGGCCGGCTCGCGCCCACGAGCGAGGCCAACTTCACTGCCGACCTGGCGGAGAAAGGCGACCCTTCCTTCTGGAGCGTGGCGAGGGCGAGCAGCGAAACACTCACTCTGGGCTCCTGCTAGCGCCTCGGCGTTCGGTCCCCTCCTGGTCTCGCTCCTGCGCCGCTCGGCGGTCGAGGTGTCGTGCCAGCACATCCGCTTCATCGTCCCGCTGGACCTTCACCCAGGCTGCACCACGAGCGAAGCGATCTGCGATCTGTCCTGGAACGATTTCCTGAGCGAGAACTTGGGCGGCGATGGTCTGGAACATCGAGCTCCACCCGCAGCCAGAGGAAGTCGTCTCCCTAGGACCCCCGGGACCCCGCCGCGAGCTCCAGGGTCTGGCGGCCCTTCCTTCTTGAGCGTGGAGAGGGCGAGCGGCAAACCAACCCGCAGGCCGGACGAGAGTCAATCCGTTCCAGAGCGTTTCGTAACGTTCTGAGAGCCTTCCGGAATGCTCTGGGAGGGCCGCGGCGCCCGAGACATCCTCCAGAACCGGCAGTTTTCAGAGATTCTCGATCAATCCCCACCCGATTTGGTC